AGCGAGAGCAGATATGGATTACCTCAGTCATTGGGCTCACCACGTGCCTGGTGGGGCTGCGAGTGCTTCTCATATTCTGTCTCATTGGATTCTCACTGTAACCCCACAGTACAGGGAGCGATTGTCCCCTTTCTCTGGCCTTGCCTGCTGCTGCAGGTTGAGTCCGAACAGAGCTCAGCCTGGCATTTACCTGATTTGGACCCTCTTGGTTGCTGAATGGACACTGTAACTATGTGGAGCGGGATTGGAAGGCAGGGCTTTACCGCAGCCCGAGGCATGTAGCACTGGACATAGACAAGGTGAAGGTGAACAAGACAGTGTGTTACAAGCCTGAAGGGCCACACGCACCCTCAACTGTATGTGTGGGGGAAGCCCTGAGCAAAATCTCACCAAGGTCCTAAGGCAGCCCATGATGGAGGACAGTTGCAGAGTTGATGGCTCACTTTGGATTGGGTTTCCATCAGGTTCCTGAGAGGGGAAAGCTCATCAGAAGCTGAATCAGCATGTCTGACCTGCTCTAGCCCAAGCAGAATCTCCAGCTCTTTAACCTCCTTATTCCTTCCTTTCTGGCTGGTGGAGAAGGAGGTTGCTTTCTTTAGTGCCCGGTGTGATGTGATCACTGACCGCCAGTGGTATCCACCATAGAAGGAACAACTGGGAATGGTCGCGTGGTGTTTTCTTGACGGTATGACACAGGCCAGAAGTCTGTGTCCATTCACCTTCCACTGTGCCAGCTATGGAGGCTACAGAAGCCTCTGACAAAGTCAAGATTTGCCTCCTGACGCTGATTTGGTGCAGGGAACCGAAGGCTTTGTCACCTTACAAAGTCGGTGTCTATCCCTCTGGGTGATGAGAAACCAACAAGACCATCTTAGTAGGAGTGGCCCAGGTCGCCAGCATTGCTTCCCCCTCTACCTGAACCACGGGGCGTTTATCACTTGGGACCACAGCTGGGCTTCCATGTGTCCCCAGCTCAAGGACATGACCTCCTGTCCCTGGGGGAGGGGGAAGAGGAGGAGGCATCTAGAACATAGGGGGGCAATGAGAAAAGAGAGAGCGCTGTGTTTTCTGCCAGGATCTTACTGAGCAGCTGCTGGAGAGGGGCCTTGGGGTAAGGAGATGGGGGGAAGGTCCCAGCCACATGACAAGAAGCAAGTGCACCTCTGAGGAGCCAGTCTCACCTTCGGCCCCTCTCCTCCCAGCCTTTCCCTCTCCCTTCCCTGCTCGGCTGTGTCTCTTTTCCTCCTCTTTCCCAATCTTTCCGTGTGCTCTTTCGCTTTCTCCTGGCTCAGTGTGATAGGCTCCCACCCTCAAGGGGCCACTAGACCAGCCTCGCTGCCAAATGCTCTCCTCTAGTCAGTGAGCAGGTCATTCATGAGCCAAGAGGTCCATCCAAGGACCCGCTGCTTCTCTGTAGCTCATGACGAAACAGGTTCCCTGAGGTTTAGGGAGGCACCAGCTTTTATGCAATCACAGTTAATCCCTTGTTTTCATAACAAGGTTGGGAGAATCTGTTTCTTGTTCCTCCAGGTTGTTTGTTGATTCTGAAGAGCTGCAGTGCCCACGGCAGTGCAGGTTAAGCTCCATCCATGACTCATCGGGACCCCTGTGTCTGTCTTGCAGGTGTCGCTGCTGCCTGCAGAGCTGGCCCCCCTCTGACACTCAGCTGTTTCAGTCCTGGCTGCACCTGGGAATCGCCAGGAGCTTAAAGAATTACTCATGGCTGGTCCTACCCTAGGTTCTGATTTAAATGGGTTGGGTGGTGGCCTGGTCATGGAAATTTTAAAAATCTCTCCTGTGCTTTTCATATGCAGCCACGAAGAAAACCACTGCTCTTATGTGAAATTAGGAAAGGCTGAGGCCAGGGCAGGGCCAGCACCTGACGCAGGAGTGGGCAATCAGACCTGTGATCTCCCGTGTTCTCAGCCCTGTTTCACATTAGATGGAAGCCTTGCTCCTTCACTCGTTTATTCATTCCGCAAACAGAGTTGAGAGCATTATAGTGTCAGGCATTAGGGGACCCATGAAGAAGCCACAAAACTACATTGGATGCAAAATCATAAGCAGAAGTGTTTTTGGTGAGCCGCGAATAACAAGGGTAACAAGGGGAACTAGGTGAACTTGTAACTTAATAACCTTATCAGTTTCTGCCTCACAGAAGACTTTGCCAGTGGGAGCCAGAGAAAGTCCCGGGGCTAGGGCCCCTTCTCCAGGATGGCTTGGCGGGGCAGGGGCTGCCTTAGTTTTGGGAACAGTCATTCTCTGTGCTTTGATGACTGGCCTGTTGAAACATCAGGACAGGGTAGGCTCTGCTGTGCTAACAAACCCCAACATCTCAGTGGGTTAGCACCAACACATTTATTCTTGCTCATGGCACAGTCCAAGGGGACCAGGGGTCTCTCTTAGTGGCCCTTCTCCAAGAGGGACTCAGAGACCCACAATGATTTCAAGGTCAACTCTGCCTCCTGCAACTTCTCTACCTCAGCTGTGCCGATGGCAGCAGCCTGGAGAACACTCCTGCTCCTGCCTTGGTCCTGGCCCAGCGTTCCTTCTGCTCACACCCTCAGGCACGTGGGTCAAACCCAACTTTCTCCTCGTGCATTCCTGGAACACAGGGCGTCACTTCTGTTACTCCCGTGTGTAAGGCGACATGTTTCTGCAGTGGGCCCATTGAATGTTTATGTCACAGTTTAGCTTGTAGAGGGCAACCTTATTTCTAACAAGGTGTGTAGTAACCAGGAACAGACTCCAGAGATAAATAAAAACTGAGACCGGTGAAGGAGGAAGGAGCGCAATGGGAGGCCCTAGCCAGGAGGAACCCCGCAGGGGGCACTGAGCGGAACATTTGTGGACAGGCACAAACTCCTCATCTGTGTAAATCTTTCGGGTTTGTATGAAAATCATGGAATCTGTTTTTTCTAAATAGATGTCACCAATTTGGTGACGGAGGCCAGAACGGAGGCCCTGTGTTGCTAATCTTTGTCATCAGTCTGCATTGCCCCAGCCTTTCACATCAGTAGATCTTGAATGGTACTGGGAGATTCCTAAAGCTAACTCCTTTCCTGTTAAATATGGGGCAACTGAGGCCCAGGGGAGGGAAGCGCATTCTCAACATGCAGCTGGCCAGCAGGGTGATGGGGTCACCTGACTCCGCCTGCCCTCTCCAGACTCCTCCTGGTCCCTCAGTTCTCCTGGTGCAAGGGTTGGGGGAGGGGGGGTGTCCTGCCAGTGACTGACTTCTCAGGGCAGCAGGGAGCTGGGAGTTCCTGCTTGCTTCTGCTTTATAGCCATCACCTGAAAGGAAACCTAAGAGAGAGAGAGAGAGAGAGAGAGAGAGAGAGAGAGAGAGAGAGAGAGATATGCTTTCATGATT